CTGCCTCGCTGTTGAACTGGAACTCATGCGAGTCATCTGCGATTTTGTAAAGTATTCTGCCTGCCGTTTCCTCTTCAAATTGCCAACTTTTCCAAAACATTGAGGGATATTTTAATAACATGTTATTCTTCTGAATGTCTTAAAGTTTTTGATTCATTGAAACCAACCATTCTCTACAAATTAGGTAAGGTGAGTCTAGGGCGTTTTCACGAAAGTGACCTTCTTCAGCACTAGGTTTACAGCGTATAGATTCCAGAAATGGGCGGGATTTTGTGTGAAGGTGTGGAAATTCACCAATCTCCCATAGTTTTTTGAGTGTGTGCTAATAATGATGGCATAACTGTCAATCAAAAGCGCAGTTTTTACCAAAAAAAAAACATAAACATATAACAACGATAAGCACGCTTAAATAGAAGCGCTCGCTCACGTTCCCGTTAGTGCTGATAACGATGTCAATCCACAGCACATTTTTTACTATTAACTTGCTCCATCTCTCTTGCTCTAGGTCGTCCCGAAAGTTTTGCGCACGATTTCAAAAATGCATAACTTCTGATTTTTCCAATCGATTTGACTGCTTTCATTTTTTGCGAAATGGTAAGTCATTCTCTTTATAATGACATCTCAGCTGCTTAGTAATGGTATCTGTTCATAGATAGGAGCGATAGAAGAAAAATGGTCAAAATTTGAATTTTCTGTGTAGGGTCATAAAAAATCGGAGACTTGCAACAAAAATCGGAGCAGTCAGTATTGTAGGTTCTTTCACCAGCTCTTTCTAACAGTGCAAAGTTTGCGCTGATTGAGGGCCTCTATGGAAAGTTATGCTTTCCCTGAAAAATGCCAAAGTAAACAAAATTTGCCCTTTTGTATTGCTTGCTCGAAAATCATAACCTTTCATAGAGGCCCTCAATCAGCGCAAACTTTGCACTGTTAGAAAGAGCTGGTGAAAGAACCTACAATACTGACTGCTCCGATTTTTGTTGCAAGTCACCGATTTTTCATGACCCTACACAGAAAATTCAAATTTTGACCAATTTTCTTCTATCGCTCCTATCTATGCAACAGATGACCATTAGTAAGCAGATAAGATGTCATTATAAAAAACTGACTTACTATTTCATACAAAAATAGAAGCAGTCAAATCGGTTGAAAAAATTAGAAGTTATGAATTTTTGAGAATCCTGCGCAAGAACCTTCGGGACACCTATCCAGTGTGTTGGCTTTTATGGGTCACCGGAGCATATTTTTAGAGCCGGGAAGCAAAGAAGCCCTAACATGCTTTATACCATTCGAAAGCTGAGATCATGGAGAATCGACGTCGACTTTTTTCCAGGGTCTTCTGTGCCGCGAGATATGAGGGATTTTATGTGCTCCGAAAACCAACTGCTTTTTTGTCCTCACTTTCTGCTCTCCAAATGAATGCTACGAGGTTAAATAAATAATATAATGTAAGAGGGAACGATATTCCACGGTGGCATATGCAGATGTTGACATATTTCTACAATCAGCATAGCTGAGAACGATCTGATAACGGTTGCCAACCGATATAAAACAGACACATGAAACTGTTGGAGAGATCTCGGAACCCCCAGCTGCAGAGCGGCATGCTCACCTACAGATCATCTTGCACCAACCTCTGCTGTTTACTCTGTACCTTCGTGTATTGTGTCTAGTAAATCATGTTAATACCACTGTGTATCGCCTACCAGTAAAGAGAATATCTATTGGGCCCAGATCTTACTGGTAACAGCAAGTGGATGTAAGGTGAGTAATTTTTTGGAACTAACTAACCTTAGCTCCGCAGTGGGCAACGAACAATCTTTGAAAATGTTCCATGCTCAATTTTCTCCATTTTACAGTTATCAATATCAAAAATCAGGTTCGTGTGGTTTTCTTTCTCTTAGCATGGACGAAAAAGTGCATGTAGAACTAGGATCATTTCATACATCTATCTCTAACCATCTTCTTAATAGTGATTTCGCTATCTATGATTTCCTTTGACCTTTCTTTTGGCGCCTTTCTATCTTGTTTTTGGGAAAATGTCTCGCGAGTGATTAAATGACGAGTGCATAAGTATTTTGGATCGGAGCATTGAAGTTTCGTGTCGAGTTTTGAATTGAAGTATCGCGCGTGTCTCATGAGTAGTGGCCCGACAAGGCGTTAAACTGTTGGAATGGTGATCGATCAAGTGTTGAGGAATGTGAAAGAACGCTAGTGAGTAAGCTGCAGCTATGGAGATTCCCTGAAGTTGAGGTAGTGGTTGTAATGCGTTGCTCCGAGTCACCGGTGATAGAGTTTTGAGCGTTCTTGTGTAGAATTAGCTAGATTTTGTGCATTGTGACTGTGCATCCACAGCTCTTTTCATCTAGTACGCCTGGCGTATGCAATATTATGTTTCGTTGTGTAACGTCCGCGCATACGGCGCCGCGAGAACTACAGCGAGCGCCGCGGGCAAATGTTTATGTCGGCGATGTGATCGCACTCCCAGATACAGAGCGCGGAAAGCTTGTGAGTTATAAACATAGGGAAAATTATGTTTTTTTCTCATGAGATAGACAGAAGATAAGGGTCGGGAAAAATGGTTTTCAGGGATATGTTTACATATTTTTTTCTTATCTGATAACGGACTCGTATATATACATGGCAGTGTTAGAAGGAGACACATTTCACATATTCTTCGTTTTCCATCGTACTTTTCTTGCGCCCTTCCCTCGAATGGCACCTCCGGTGACTCGCTTTCGTGCCCATTCGGTTGATACAGAGGTCGTAGTTACCCAAACACAGAGCTTAGAACCTACTACTGGTTCCGTAGAGGACAATGATACAGATACAGCAACTCCGGATAAAATGATGGCCACTCTTAGAGCTACACTAGGTGATGTGGGGGATTCAGATGTGGTGCACCGTCGAGATGCCAAAGCTCTTAGGGATGCAACATCCGACGTCGTTGCTAATATGTGGTACGATACGCACTACAACACCTCGCAGCTGGTACAGCGCTTCAACAACAATAGTTCGGCGCTTCTCAAAGGGATTACGGACAAGGTTGAAGCCATTGACACTCGTATAAGCACCTTGCCCCAAGTAGCGGTCTGCAACCCGGAGGGACACCACATTTACTTGTCGGCATATACGGGATGTGGGGACACGTTGCAGTTCAACACATGGCTCCGCCGTTTTGAAGATATTAGGCGGACACGTCAAGGGACGTTGTCCTCAGAACACAAGGTAGCATCCTTATGACGTACTTAGACGGTATGGCACGTGAAAAAGTCGAGGAACTTCAACAATCTGAGAAATTAGAGGCTACGGCGGGACAAGGACAGGTAGTACAGCAGGAGCAAAACTTAGTAGAGTTTGTGGGGCAACTGCGCACTGAAATTCGTCGACAGGTTCAGAGCTATTTCCTTATGAGCCAATATTCTCCCCAAGGGTCGTGGACCCAAATCCAGATGACTATATCAGAATTACAAAACAGCCAGCTCTTCTCTCATCTTTGCAAAAGACTCCGCTTTTGTTATTGATGCACACGAATCCAATATTTCGGAAAATGATGAATAAACTGCTACGACAAACTCTTAGAAAGTCCCTTCAGGACTTTTGGGTAAAATGGGGAGGTGTAAGAGGGAACGATATTCCACGGTGGCATATGCAGATGTTGACATATTTCTACAATCAGCATAGCTGAGAACGATCTGATAACGGTTGCCAACCGATATAAAACAGACACATGAAACTGTTGGAGAGATCTCGGAACCCCCAGCTGCAGAGCGGCACGCTCACCTACAGATCATCTTGCACCAACCTCTGCTGTTTACTCTGTACCTTCGTGTATTGTGTCTAGTAAATCATGTCAATACCACTGTGTATCGCCTACTAGTAAAGAGAATATCTATTGGGCCCAGATCTTACTATAAATAACCATAAATACCGTTTCTTTTGTAAATTTATGAGTGTACTTGTTGTTTGAGGTACTTAGCCTGCAAAACCTTTTAGTAACGATTATTTCATGTTCTCAGAGTACAATATCAATATCAGCCCAGGTGAAAGGGATCATCGGGAGTTTGGCCTCAAAGTGAAGGGGTAAGATCCATCACTCCCCCTATCTCAACTATGACCAGAAAGCGATTTGGCCCGCGCTGACCTACTCATCGGTTTCCCCGTTCGCGTTTTAACACGTCCTTTCAAGCAAAGGCATCCTTCAATCAAAATGACGCGCAGGTTAGAGTAGGAAAGCAATCCCGTCCGAGCTATCCCCGCATAGCCTTCGAAAAGTGGAGATTCGCGTTGTGTGTTTTGATAATAGGGGTAAGATGGTTTGGAAAGGCTTGTAGTGTGCAAAATGTAGCTTTCAAAATTTAATACAGACATTGCCTCCCTGGCCTCGAAATTTTGACCTCAGAATAGATATTGCTTACTAATGCATGGCAAACAGCACGGTATGAGCACAAAAAAGAGTTTGTCTTTTTGGAACTTCTCTGTACTGACATGCACGTGAATAGGCAATTTCTGCGTAGGGAACGGTACGACTTTCGACAATTTGCATATTAGCACTCTTCTTTTTTGACAAGGAAACGATAACAAGTCGCAATGGCAAACTGGAATAAAAGTGATATCATTAGATGCTGCTTGAAGACCTGTTCCAAAATACCTTTCCTACATATTTTTTATAGAACTTCTTAGCCGATATGGAAGGTAGGTTTAGAATCGGCTTATCAAAACGCACCTAATGATACACGTCTCATTCCTTCTCAATGCTATCGTTCCTTGTGAGTTTTTGATGTTTGGTCTGTACCCTCCTTTCTCATAGTTGTAGCCTGTAGGCAATGCAGAACGAGATCGAAAACATTGGTTATCAGCACTAACTTTGTCAGCAATGATGACTCTGTTTGGCTATTCGGCCGCTTCCGCCTGCTTGTCTATTACAGCTGAGGGCGAGGAGCACACCTTCACACAGTTTACCGAATCTTGTTTTCCAGCAATTTCATCAAATTTTGATTACAGGATTAGGTCTATTAACAAGTATCGCGATGCGGATATTCGCGATACCACTGGTGTTCATGTTACTACACCATACATCGGGAGAGATTGCGAGGCCTGTGGATTACTTGGGAGGATTTAATTCACTTAAATTCAACGGTATTTCTCTTTGTTATTCATGATGCCAGACACACTCGCTTTGCAGACGTAAGCAATCCTTGGAAATTTCGTCGAGTAAGAACACCTCGAAATCCCATCCGAAGAAGAGATTTTCATGACTTCGTGACTGATTATGACTACGAACTGATGATGCGGATGTTACCTGTATACAAAAGGAAAAGAAGCTATGATGGTGAAAATGATCCCATAACACCGCTAGGCCAATTTCACTAGAATTAGAGTGAAGAAAAAATCATGTTTGAACATGAGAATTTCACGGCAATGAAGTTTCCAGTTTGCTTATTTTGACGTAAAACTTACTGTTATGCCATCTACTAAGTAATTAGATGTCTTTAAGAATAGGTATACGTTGTATACAGATGTACACAACTTATATTTTTGTTCAGCTAGTAATTTCCATTACTGCCTTATAACTGCCTTTGTTACCATTATGCTAGATTAGTGCAGTTCAATTCTACTAATTCAGCATCACTATGGCTCAAATGGACAACCTTTTTTATTTCCTCGAAGCTTTGTACACTTTCCAAGGCATTTGGATGGCGAAAGTTGTTAGTATACTTGCTTTCTGCGAGGTCCGCTCATGCAACACAGCCGAAACTGTTTTTGCAGGCAAACGAGATTGTTTGGGTGCAACTAACTATTTATGAAATGTTACCCTTATTTCACTCTTTTGTCTGGGTACGTGCTGACTTTACGAAAAGTCTTTCTCCCGTTTTCATTTTGTTCACAGGCTTTGATCTGGAACGTTTTGAGTGTATAGATTAAAGTAATAAATAAATAGGTGTTTATTTGATTATTGATGTGGTAAGTGAAGGAAATTGTGATCTCACATACGCAGTGTTGGGTTATTAAAATGGTACTGATGCACGTCAAGAATGAATGCTATCTCAACAAAAAAGAGAATCAGTTGAAGCTGCAATTCTGGCAGACCAAATTTACTTCCGAGACGTCTTATGTAGCCATTGATGCTTTTCATGTTTTTTATGATTGCTCGAAAGCAAGGCGTTTCAAGTTTTTTTAATGCAGAGTCAAGTTTTCCAAATTTGTTTTCAGTGGTAGAAAGGACGTATAAGCCGTCGCCCGCGTTTTGCGCGGAATGCAGCGCTGTTGCATCCATCCAAGGCATTCATGACGGGGCGATCCTTGTGGCATAGTGTGTACCCGACCAGCTTTCCAAAGTTATCATCGCGGCGCAACGCAGCGCGCGTCGGGCTTGAAGCTTCCTGTTTCGCTTTTGAGCAGTAAGGCAAGCTTTCTGTTTCGCTTTTGAGAAGTAAGGCGATTCTATCACATATCAAAGCAAAATGAGAGATGGAAACTTCCAAGCCAACTCGAGAGGCCCATACAACGTAAGAGAACATTTACAAATACAACCAGTTTCTAATAAATGCAAGTACTACTACTGATGTTTGACTAAGTAGTAGTAGCAAAAAAAGAAAGAAAACTTGGTTTTTTCACATCTTTCTCTTTATGACGGCAAGAAGAAAAAGTATCGACTCGAACACGAAGACATTCGAACAAACAAGCCTTACTGGTTTAATAAGCGGGGCATCGACTTACAAGCATTTATACTCTACGAAACGATCCGGAAGACAAGCGAAAACTGCAAAACTGCAACTTTTTAGAGATGTTTTTTGGACATGAATCAAATCTTAACTATTCGAGAAAAAACCTGGAACATTTGATGCAAAGGAGCTTAAAACTACTATAGCATGTTGAAATTCGTCAAAGACTATTAAGCTGGATCGCGTCACCAATAAAAGAGTAGAAAGCAACGAAATCAAAAAGAAAAAAGCAAAAAAACTCATCAGAAGCTGCAAGGAAAGGCGCGTCGAAAGCGTGCGCTGCGGATGCGTCGTGGAGGTATAAGCGATTCGTGAAACAAAATAGTTCGTGCATGAGGGGGCAGCAGATGGTGAAACGAAACAGCGAGCGCTCAATCAGAGACTCATAGCACGCAAAGACCGCGGACACGTCCGCGGTCTTTGCTTGCTATGAGTCGCGTATATAGTCCTTTCACCCGAGTGTAGCGGGCATTGTTTGCGGATTAGGATGCGAGCTGGTCAAAGTCGATAAACAGCTGATTTTTCTCCATCCACACACATTGATAAGAGTGATCTCTCGCTACCAAAACCGCGCCGCTCTAAAGTTGCAACTTGCAACGCCTATGTCCAACTTAGATAATCGCGGGGGGCAGGCGGTCCGCAAACTCGCGTTTTCTTGAGGAGGTCAGCAGAATATTGGGGCGTGGCCAAACCTTCAGCGGGCGGTACCTCCTTTACTGTCGAATGTCCTGCTAGCAGGGAAGAATACAGAGTTTTCTGCGGGCGCTCGTCGAATAATTTCTTTCACCTAGCGCTGGCTAAACTTTCAGCAGGCGCTCGAACTCTTTTTAAGCAGTTTCGGGCGTGCTTCGAACAAATGTGAGACTCTATGCTGCAGAGGTGTCATCGATGGTTTGATTATTCAAGTTTGAGGTACTTTCTCTTAGCGGAAAGTACCTGAGGGTTGTGCGGTCCTCAATAATTTTGTATATTCTCGCGAAAGGTCCGCGAGAATGCGGCCAGTGCGCCGCAACTAATCTATAGAAAAATTTTTAGTTTTTCAAGCATTCGTCTGAAAATTGGTCAACATTCCTCCAAATTTCTGCAAGCGAGCCGCAAGCCCCTGCGATTATCTGAAAGGGAAGGACACTTGATCGCAGTGACGATGAGTAAGCGATGTATACCGCGTATACCGTCCCCAGACGGTGATCTCTAAACCGCATTCCATATCTGCTATGGCGTCATTTTGGAGGACTTATAAAGAATTTTTGTGCAGTGGATAGTGGCTTGGACTGCGGAGCTGGACGTGGTGAGTTCAATTTCTCTATATGCCACCCGTTTTGCATTTTTGTAAAATTTAGCAGGCAGGTTGCAAAATCTGTCGACATCAAAAAAAGTTGATTTTCACAATATGAATCAAAACATTTACATTTAATGGCACTAAACCACCGTCTAACCTAAACACACTCGTTTTAAGCCTTTTTCATTGAATACTTTACTCATTCTTACATTGAAAAATTCCGATTTCGTGCTTAACATAAAGAGGCGCAGCTAACCTGTCAAAAATGGCGTCTTTAATGAAATGAATGAATGATTGAATACAATGTATGAATTCAATGAAAAAGGATCAAAACGAGTGTTTTTAGGTTAGACGGTGGTTCAGTGCCAATAAATGTAAATATATTGCTTCATATTGTGAAAATCAACTTTTTTGATGTCGACAAGTTTTGCAACTTGCCTGCTAAAATTTACAAAAAAGCGAAACCAGAGGAGTCGAACCCAAGACTTCCAGCTCCGCAGTCCAAGCCACTATCCACTGCACCAAAAATCCTTTATAACTCCTCCAGAATGACATCATACCAGATATGGAATGCGGTTTAGAGATCACGTCTGGGGTCGTATACGCGGTATACGCCCCTTACCCAATCGTCACTATGATCAAGTATCCTTCCCTTGTGAGAATACAGTCTTGCGAACAGGCGATACCTACGGGAAGCTGACTGAAGCACGCCGCCCGAGGACATCACTTAGAGACCGACCATACTATTCGTGTAATTCCTGCAATTCCTGCGATTCCTGTGATTGCTGCGGGTCCCGTAACAAGTACATTGCGAAAAACAATGTATACTGAAATTCGCAAAGCGCTCTGTAGTGCGCACTTAGAAGTCGAGGAATTACAATATTGCAGGAATTACAGCAGTCGCAGGAATTACCTCCTGGAATAATATGGCCGTCCCCTAAGTAGCTTGCACGGGACTATCATCACAGTCGCGATCGTACTGGCAGTGCAAAAAATGCAATGCAAGGTCTTCATAGGACCATCGTGCTTTCCATTCAAACTCTGGTCCTAACTTCTTTACTGAAATCTGCGGAGACGTTCTAGTTTGATTTTTCCCACGCTCGTCGAACCCTAATTCGAATTTAACGCAAAGAAAAGGCTCAGAACCGCGGAAAACGCCCAAGATTGACGGGACAATGCCTTCGAGCAGAAAATGAGTAAGTGAGCTCACCAAAAGTATGCGCTGCGAACAGGGCCCGGCAAGCACGAGTTGGGCAAATGACAAGCTGGACATTTTGGGGTCTAAAAGCAAAGGCGATATTGTTCTTGTGGGGTGGGAGGGGGAGCCCCGGAAGAATTATAGTTATGGTGGCATAGCTAAGCCCTTTCTCATAAACTCACATGTTATGTACTTCAACAGGCGAACATGGAGTTCGCGCGCAAACCGCCCCTTCGCTAATTGCCGCACGCGTGACCTCGAAGGCAACGTACACCCAAAATTTCGCCTTCCATGTTTTTATTGCTATCGGGCCCTTCCATGGTGCTGTTTCGGATATGAGTTTCGAATCACCGGAAAACTTCAAAATTGCCCTTTTCTGAAGCCCTATTTTGGCAGATGTGGGTGAGTGCTAAGGCGCTAGTCACGCCGTTGCTACAGGAAACCTCGTCGTGTGCAACAGCACCAGATCACTAACTATACGTCTCGATGTTGTGTCATGTCAGAACACGTCCGGGGCAATCCTTGGGTGGGTGGGGTGCAAGAGGTTCCGGGTCAGGAGTCACACCGCGCGCGGTGGTCGCTCGCCGCGCCCAAATCTTGTGCCTCACGGTAACTCCCCGGTGCTCAAGTGGCACGGCGCCACAGTAGGGGGGGGGGGGTGGTGAGTGGCGGCAGATAAATGACTCGATAGCATAAGTAACATTGCGGCAGAAGTACTGACGGAAGGTGTGCCTTGTACTGTTTGACGTCACGTTGCGGCGTCGCTTAGCGAAAAATCGTGACTCCTGATCCGTACCCGCGCAAGAAAAGGGGGGGGGGGCGCAAAGAGGATCCGATCCGTGCTCTCCTTTTGTAAGCAACAATAGGGGACCAGACCAACGCGATTGGTCTAATATTAGGGCCTGCGCGGCTCCAATATTAGACCAACCGGACAAGGAACAAGGACAAGTAGTAATCTGGGGTTAATAGATTTTGGGTGGACGCTGCCTTTAAGCGATGCTATTGTAACAACATACACGACTAGTTCTGTATCTATGCATAACGATAGGCATCAAATTTCGTAAGCAAACGAAGAAAGGCTCGTGGAAACGAATTATGATAAAATATGAAAAATTTATGTGATTAAAAGGTGTAACAAGCATTTTGTCCAAATTTTGCATAACTGGTAAAGGAAGATGTGAATTCGAATGGCTCGTTTGCAACGATAACGATATGGTATGAAACTTGCTACGTACATGAACACGGGCATGCAGTTGTTGACTGAGAAGTTTCACTGAGAAATTATGTGGGTGGAGGTGCGGCAAGCTCTTTTGTGAAAATTTCCCGCTACCAAAAAATGGAAAAATGGCCCGTATGCAACGCAGAGATGACGACGCGCGAGATTCGGTACACATACGCGCAGTAGGACTAACAATAAGTAGCAAAGCATAACTTCCATAGAGCCATGTACTCTGGTGAGCTTCACTTTGAGCGTCATGATGAACACAGCCTTCACTTTGAGAAAAGAAAAGAAGTCATCCTGGGCGAAGCAACGGATATTACGACTTAATTATAGGAATGAATGTGAATGAGGCAAGCCAATGAATGAGTTTTGAGAAAAAACTCAGAAAACCAAAACATTGCATTTTTGCGGCCTATTCTGCTAAAAAGAAAGTTTTA